CCTCCTATACCTGCAGCTTGTTCTTAGTTGACACTTTTATCTCTAACGATGGGCTCCAGTAAGAGTTCGCAAGCTCAGACGAATAAAACCACGATTCCGGTGATCGTCTTCTTCTTTTTCGTTTTCGTTTTCTTCTTCTTATCTACCTATAATAGTATTCAAGAAACTTAACCCAGAAATGTGGCTGATAACGCTTTTGGTGAACAGCATGGACATAAAGGCACGCAGCTGTCTACGCGAAGGCTAGGAAATGCAGAAATAGTTAACACCACAGCAACCGTAAGATGTCGTTAAGACTTCTCATTCAAATGGCCTGAAAATATAAATCGTCTTCCGAATGCGTTCTGCAAAGCATGTAGTCAAAACCAACAGAGTACAGTACTGCAGAAGGACCGTACCACTTGGCCAGTAACTCATCATCATCGTCACCATCATCATTCTCACCATCACCATGGCCATAATTCTCACCACCACAATCATCATCATCCCCATCATCATCATCATCATCATCATCATCATCATCATCATCATCATCATCATTGGTCCTTCCTACCTTTTCCTTCTCGCATGCATCAGTGAACTGTCTGACCTAGTACATCATCATCATCATCATATTATTATTATTATTATTATTATTATTATTATTATGTCCTCCTCATCATCATCATCATCATCATCATCATACTCATCATCATTATCATCAAATCATCATCATAATCATAATCATTATCATCATCATCATCATCATCATTCGCATCATCATCATCATCATCATCATCATCATCATCATCATCATCATCATCATAGGTCCTTCCTACCTTTTCCTTCTCGCATGCATCAGTGAACTGTCTGACCTAGTACATCATCATCATCATCATATTATTATTATTATTATTATTATTATTATTATTATCTGATCATCATCATCATCATCATCATCATCATCATCATCATCATCATCATCATCAATTCTTCTTCTTATTCTTCTTCTTTGAAAATAGCTATTCAAAAGGCCTGTATTTAGGAATATTTTAAAAAATAAACTACGGACTGCATGTTGAGAAGAGGTTACCACCGCCATATGTTTCCATATTGCATCCTGTCATTCTCCGTTTAAGTAGGCGGTTAGAGACGTGTAGGCGTAACATCAGAAACGAAACCTTTTCAAGGATAAGCCGAAGACTAACTCTTTCCCCCAGCAGATGGAATAGGTTAAATACGAATAAATAACATCTGCTGTCAAAGAAACGCTGGAGGCATTAAACTAAATAACCGCTGCCACTCCTCGTTAAGAAGGATTTTGGAACACCTCGTCTTCACCAAAGCCCATTTTCAGCAGACAGATGAAACAGATAGGGCTAGCTATATTGAATAATGAGAAAATAGCTGTAACGGATAAATTATTTTTTGTTTAAACGATTTTAGACAAAGAAAGTTTTCGGTTCACTTAATTCATTAATTCCGGAACCTTGCACAATGAAGATGGCGTAACGCCCCCCCCCACGCACTCCAAATTCAAAGCCTCTAGTTTACTTTTTTGTCAGCTGGCAAAATAGTTAAGGAAATAAGATACCAAGAGATTTTGCGAGGTGAACAGACAGAGATGTGTCATTTAGGACCTACTTGAGTTTAGTGGCGGACATCAAGCTATAAATTGTACGCTCATCTTAAGGTTAGGTGGGCCGTTTTGACACTAAGGATTTAAGTCAAACGTTCAGCCACTGCACTCAAGATCCATCGAGCTGCCTGACGATAGATCGAGCATTTTTCCCTTATCTTAAGTTCATTTTTTGCACCACAGATTGGCTAGCTATGGCCACGAACATCGTTATTGCCTGCAAAGGTTCGACAAAGATTGTTTCACCTACAGGCGTTTTATGAGGCACTTCTGAAAGGTAATTTGGTCAAAAGACATCTAATTACCCCAACTCATGCCAAATTTAGTCTCTCCTCTGCCAGTAATACAAACTTATTTTCATCATTCTCATTACTGGATTGGCGCAGTAAGCCTAACACAAAGGAAACACTATAAGCAAGCTGAAATGCAGAACTTGTAAGCGCAGAAGGGGATTATGAAAATTAATCATCTTCTTGTCCCTCAGATAAGCATGATTTATCTGCTGTTTTAAAAGGTTACCAAGCCCCTTGTCCATATCTCCTAAGACAAGAAGTGTGCACAGATGACGATAGAATAAACTGTTTAATGCAGAAGTGTTTTAGAGAACACTGAGTAATCTGGGTTTCATGTAATGTCCTGATGTGCTTGAAACACTTACGGCAAATTAAACGAATTCGAATAATTTTGCTGCCAATACAAGCGAACATGCGAGCCCCAGGAAGTGATTGAGAAGAAGGCGACTCGATCGCGGGGACAACAATTTTATTCGCCTGACGTTTTGCATCCGTCGCGGATTCATCATCAGAGACATTAGCAGAAAACGGTAGCAGAAACCAGTAATACACGCACAGGAGTTTGCAGTATTTATAGTATGCAGTCATTACTGCAAACATTCAAAGACAATTAACGTTAATTGCCTGCTTGCGCGTGGATTGTTTGTTGGACGGCATGCAAGCTCTGACCTGTTGAAATTTCATCACGGGCGTGATGATTGCTCGGCCATCTGAACCTCCGAAGTTGGCGCAGGATGACGCAGTGAACTGTCCGTTCCCCAAGTATTGACTTGCTTTGCCCAAATTGAGTCTCAACACCGAATATAGATTGGGCAAAGCGTTGCACTTGTTTAAGGATTGGAGGACCGTAAGCCATGACTGAAGTAATTATCGGCTTACCCGATTGTTACCTCTTACGAGAATTTTGGCCTAATCGAATTTGAATGTGTGGCGGGGTCTCGTCGAATGAGCTGCCACTGTATGCATGTTTGCGGTTATGACTGTATCCTATAAATACTGCAAACTCCTGTACATGTATTACTGGTTTCAGCTACCATTTTCTGCTAATGTCTCTGATGATGAATCCACGACGGATGTCGAAACGTCCGGCGAATAAAAGTCTTGTCCCAGCGATCGATTCATCTTCGTCTCAATAATTTTACTGTTTGACCGAGGTATCCGAGGTGAACATAAATAAAATCGAAGACGAAGTGTCAAATTTATTGCACAAATTGGATTATCAGGCACTTTGAATAACACAAAATTACAAGTCAAGTAGTATTAATAACTTATGAATTGACAGACAGCCACGTCAAATGGAAACGAGCAGCCGACAATGGCTGTGCCAGCACTAACGCTCTGTGTGTATATGTAGGGTGGGGGTAGGAAGATCGCACAAAATGGTGTAATTTAGTTCCACACAAACAGTTTGTTCGGAAAAATAATTAATTGAAGCAAATAAGGTGACTTTTTGGGTTTGACTAAGTGGAAATGTAGGATATGTCATGTGTCAGGACCTAAGGTACATATTTCAACAGCAATTGAAGGAAGCTTGGGGTTGTCAGCAGAAGTCATTGAGATCCTTGTCTACTCCTTGTCTTCTATCACATCCGATGTCAAAAGACTCGAACGAAACCCAGCCGATAGCTGGATTTTCCCCAGTGGACGATCATAATCCTCCATGGACATTCTTCGATTTAGACTTAGCGGGGTCGTTTGCATCTTCACGTGACTCACTTTTAGAAAAGAGAAGACAGAGGTTGGCAAACTGACGTAGAAGTGAAAAATGTTGTAAAAAAATAGTTAGTCAGGAAAGCCTTTTAATGTCGGTTACCTTTTATGCACCACTGGTTGACAAACACATTTAATTCGATTAACTCAGTTGTTAAAAATTCGCGGCCTTAGTGGAAGTCGAATGCACACAGCAGGGAAGGCTTTTGCACAGCCAGCGCTTAACCATTGACCTACGGGGCTCACCGTTCGCCGTGAATTTAATCACACTTGGGTTAATTCTATTCCCCAGCTTTAAATTAACATACTTATATAAGAAATTGACTGTATTTCAGAAGTATACGCGCAGACTGCGTTGCTTGTTAGTGGACTTTGAGGAGGTATTAAAAGATTCTTCCAACATAAGCCGCTAAACAAAACATTTGCAGCCCTATACGTGGACATTAGAATAGGATCGTCTTACACAAGTAATATAAGTCGTTCTGCCCATGTTTCCTGCAAGGGTGAATACTGTCATGTCCCCTATCCACCGAAACACTGCCTGTAAAGTTCACATTAACTGTAACCTTGAACACTAAAGTCAGCTATAACTTACCTTAACACTAACTCTAAATCCGCCCAACTAATAGACCTCACTACATTTGCCGATGAATTTGGCGCAAAAACACTCGTGCCGCCGACGGTTACTGTTATCATGTCTCTTTGAGGCAGCCACATAAGTCATTGCCAATACAAGCGGGCATGCGAGGTCCAGACGTGTAATTGAGAAGAAGACGACTCAATCGCTTGTCCCAGCTATAAGGACATTGGAATAGGAGCGCCCCGCCCAACTAATAAAGGTGGTACGACGCATAACTCCCGGAGGAATAGCTGTTTTTGTGTCCCAAACCTTACATTAGCCTCTATCGCAAATCTAAACAGCACTTCTTACCTTGAACTTAATCCTACATTTAACACTAATCCTAACTTCAACACTTAACTGAAAAGTCATTAACCTTAATGTCAGCAATAATCCCAACCATAAACCTAACCTTAAGCCAAATCCTTACAAGATACCTAATCCCGATTTCTCCTAGATCTTGGCACGAAGACAGATGTGTTGTCGTGGCCTGGTTAGGAGACCATACAAGTCATGCTAACTCAGAAGTCAAAAATAACGTTGGCGTACAAATATTAGCAAATAAAAGGGGCGGAAATCACAATGGGCTATCGCTGGCAGACCAATCAGCGTATAATTAGGCAGAGGATATAGAAACATAAACTAAAAAGCCGTGGATCACTAACGATTAAAATACGGTTCTCTAAATACTTTGTGCACTATCTTGAGTTCAATTGGGAAAATGACTGGTTTAAGAGCGCGTTTTAAACAAAATACACGACAAGTTAACAGAACAAGCACCATAACTGCAGTAGTGTTTAGCATGACTGATGTACCAAAG